GACACAGTCTATGCCGGCATCCATGCAGATGCGACACAGGCTGTCGTCCTCCTCCTCCTGCAGCTGAAGCCGCTCACCATCTGAAAGGCAATAAAGAGCTGGGGCTGCCGTGTGGCCACCTGCTCACCCACAGGCCCAACCTGGCAGGCCCAAAGCTCAGCAGCCATCTGCTAAGGGACCTCAGGAGGCCCCACCCTACCCTAAATTATGCAAGAAATAGTCCCAACTATCCTGCACTTTGTTTCTCTCCACAAGAAATGACAGTAATGCCTCTACCCCTCAAGGTTTTGTGACAAATGAGATACAATTGGCTTAAGGTCAGGCAAGACAGGCCCAACCAGTGCTAGCTACTTCTATTTTATATCTTTGGGTAGTTTGACATGTTTGTGATGATATATGAAAATCTGTAACTAGGGAAAAGAAAAACCCTACGTCATCTTGCACATGGGCTGTGGAGTCAGAACACTAGTAGAATGTCAGCACAGGTGTCCCAGTTGTATGGCCATGGGAAGTCAAAATCTCCAGAGTCTCTTCTCATAGAGGAGCTTTATTTCCATAGTCTAGAACTAATACGTTGGGTACCAAATGACTCCCTTCCCCTGCCACATAGCCTCAGAAGCAACCCTCTCCTAACTATTCCAGCCACCCTGGCACTAACAGTCTAACTTAGAAAGGATGGTGAGAAAATCCAAGTTCCAAAAAAGAAAGGTAATGAGTGAGTCTAAGAAGTCAACATCAGCTTAAGATTTGGCCACAGAGCTATGGGCTTTGAAAGAGTTATTTAATTTTATTCATTCATTCATTCATTCATTTTCATTTGACCAGAGAAAAACACAGAAGGAAAGTGAGAAAGCAAGCCACCAGGTCCAGGACTCGAACAGTGCGGTGGTGGGCCGTGTAGGAGTGTCCAGTGCCTACCCACCATGCCACCTGCTGTCCTGTTTATTCTTTTTTTTTTTTAAGATAATTTTTTTTTTTGCTATAAGACATGTGTGCTTACTGGAGACAGAGAAAGAGAGAGGCAGAGACAGAAAGCGAGAAATCACCCCCCAAGTGGGGTGGCCACGCTACAATCCCTTCTCTGTTCTCTTCTTGGGATTTTGAACACACATGCACACACACCCTGCGTGAGTTTTAAGCTGCCAGGTCCAGGACTCAGACCACAGTTGGCCATGTGGGAATCCAGCAACATAACCACTATGCCACCTGCTGGTCCCGAGGCCTCCTTTTCAATAAGGCATAAGAGGAATCAATGAAAAGCATGAACATGGTCAGAAAGAACAGAATAGAAATTCAAGGTGGAAGGGCCAGCAATGCCAGCTGCCAATGTCAAAAGCTTCTTGTGATTTGGGGTCTAAGTTCATTGTTCACAATGACTGGTGTGGACCTGAGGTGGAAGGATCTATGGGATGGGATAACAGATGAGCCGATGCAGTAGATGCCAGAGGATGCAAAGTTTAAATAAGATCTGGGACTTGGTCTCCTTTCCTGAGTGAGAAGGTTTCCTCTAACATTTTATAATTTAGAAGCATAAGGCCATATTTAGAACCAGAGTCGTCAAGCCTATTTTAGGTAAGGCTGTTAGGGTCAACTCTGGCATATGGGCTTGCAGCTAGGCAAGCTAGGGAAAATTCCAGCTGTACTCAAAAAAATGTATGTTGCACCTGAGCCAGAGACTGAACAAAGGTTAGAGTAAGCAATGAATTAACAAAGGGAAACAGGTGGGAGTGGCTATGTAGGCCTATTGGCGCTATATACAGCTGTACATCATCGATGTAAAGATTCCATCCCTTACGGGGACCAGCAGTAAACGTAATGGCTATGTCGCTGGACTCCCATGTAGTTGACCGCGGTTTGCATCCTGGACCCGGTGGCTTAAAACTCACGCCGGGCGTGTGTGCGTGCGTGCCCAAGATCCCGAGAGGAGAATGGAGGAGAAGGGATTGTGGTGTGACCATCCCCCCTGGGGGGTGATTTCTTGCTTTCTGTCTCTCTGTCTGTCTGACGAGTGCATGCACCCTATAATGAAAAAAAACTCTCCAAAAAAAGAGATTCCTCCCCTTACTGCCAGGAGACCATACAGCCAGCAATCTAGGACCTCTGGAGGCTCCACAGATGAGGATTCTTATATCTACCCTTGTGGCATCATCTTAAAGTAGATGTCCCAAATACTCTTTGCACATTCTAGGCACAAACCTGTTCAACAAATGCTGTATTAAAACAAGCTTTTACGGGCCAGCAAGTGGTAGTGTGGTTAAGGCACTGGACTCCCATGTGGTTGACTGAGGTTCAAGTCCTGGACCCAGTGGGCTGACTTTAAACAAACTGGGTATGCGTACTTGTGTGCCCGAAATCCTGAGAGGAGGATGGAGGAGAAGGGACTGCAGTGTGGCCATCTCCTTGCAGGGGGTAATTTCTCGCTTCTGTCTGTCTGTCTCTCTGGCAAACACATGTGGCCTTATAGCAAAAATATCTCAAAAAGAAAAAAACAGCTCTTAAAGAAAATACCCAATAGGGGCCAGCAGTTGGCATAATGGCTATGTTGTTGGACTTCCATGTAGTCAACTGCAGTTTGAGTCCTGGACCCCTTGGCTTAAACTTACGCCAGGTGCATGTGTGTACATGCCCAAGATCATGAGAGGAAAATGGAGGAGAAGGGATTGGATTGCGACATAGCCATCCCCCCTGGGGGAAGTGATTTCTCCCTTTTTGTCTCTCTGTCTTTTTGGCAAGCACACATGCCCTATAGCAAAAACCTCTCCAAAAAAAAAAACACAGTATTTGTCAAGATGAACACCGTGGAATTATTTTTTCTTGCTCATAAATGCTCTTGTGGCTTGGCTCTATTACCAGTTATGGGAAAATGTCTGAGTACATTTCATCAGTGAATAGATCAGAAGTTGTTAGCCACAGCTTTTTGTGACTTACACAGAAACCTAATGTTTGATGCTAAGAACTAAACATCTGGGCTGTAGGGAATTTTTCCCCAGGGTCTAAAAGCCACAGTTGGGATAATACCTGCCACAGGGGTGAGAGAAAAACAGCATTTTTATAGAGATAAGAAATTTTATGAGGATTCTTAGAAGTTAATTGTGGTTTAAATAAAAAATCAGACTGAACACATTATCATCTAACTCAGCAGGCATTGGTAGTCAGAGCCAGCAACACATAATTGACATACTATTTAGTAGACCTATAAATAGGCTGATATAGCTAAATGAATTCACACTCAGCCGAAAGGTACAGTTTTTTCAAAAGTAAATCTGACTTCAATGTGACAGAAATGGCCCAGTTTTTAAAAGCCTAAGGAAGGATACAGTAAAGAAAAAATGAAAGAAAGTAAACCTACATGACTTTTGGTTTTCCTCATTCTCTTTGTACAACCGGCTTACTTTCTCCACCAGCTCCCATTTTTCACAGCAGCCAGAGTAGTTGACAAAGTTCCGAGCCAGGATTTCCTTCAGCTGGCGCACACTCATCCCTTCTACATCTTCAAGGCTCGACAGGTCGGACAGAGAAGCTCTCACCCTCTTCTTAGACAGCCTGGGAGTCTGAAATCACAGTGTTCTGTGCATTACCTCTGGTCCCACAAGTCCATATCCCACCACCCCTAGGCCTTATTGGTCCCGGTTATTCCTCCAGGACATCTCAGCAGTCTTGGAAGTGCTTAATGTACTCTCCCACAGACCATCCTGGGCTAATTCAGATAAAGTCCACAAGATCATCTTCCTTTTTGCCAGATTGACCTGACGGAAGCCACATTTTGCAGCAGGTCTCACCCGTTCCTCCAAGTTTTCCTCTTCGTCATCATCATCATTGTCATCGTCATCATCTTCTGTGTTTGCTGAAGCAATTTCACTCTGCACCTACACACATACAATGCATGTGATCAGGTCAGGAATCATGTTTTCCTAACAGTATCAACCCTTATTTACCAGTAGTGAATACCTTTCCATAAGAGTGGCCCGAGATCCTGGCACACTCCATGAGTCCACACACATGAGCCCAGCGTGAATTTTAAGCTGCCAAGTTCCAGACTCAAACCACAGTCAAATATGTGGGATTCCAGTGACATAACCATTATGCCATCTGCTGGTGTCTCTCTGCTTTTTAATAATCCCTTTCTTCAGGGGGAAAAAATGTGTAGAAAACCGTTCAAAACAACTCAGCATTCTAGAATCATATCATTATTTATATAAGCAAATAATGATTACAAGCCCTTGTACATTTTTTCAGTCAGGATGCCCAAGGATGTCCCATGGGACAATATTCTAATTAGCAAAAAACTATATTTTTTCACTAATTCAGTGACTTTCGTTATCCAAATTAGAACATTTCACTATAGTAAGGCAACCTGGCACTAGGTTAACTTACACTATTGGTAGTTTCTGTGGTCACTCACACTTGTACAAATAGTCCTACCAACATGTATCTGCTATTTTATAGTCATTCCTTAAATAGTTCAGATTTAACTACCTAAGAGAAAGAAACTGAGGTATCTTAAGTCGAGAAATTTATGAACTATTTTAGGACCCTTTAGACCATGGACCTGGGGCCAACTAGCACCTAAAGCACTAAGACCACATACACATCAAGAGAGCCTGCAAGCACAGTTCAGCGGGGTCTAGAACCTCTGCTCTGGCAAGTGACACAGTTTATCCGAATTCCTCAAATGCTCAAGTCCCCACAATATGAAGGGACTTCAAAAAGTGTGTAGAAAATGGAATTAAAGTATCAGTTTATTTTGGCACTAAGAATTTTTGAAATCTATGCATAGTTTGCATTTTCCATAAACTTTCTGAAGATTCTTTCAATATGGCCATGAGTAAGGATGTCAGGCCCCCAGTGTAATTAATTACACCTTTATACCTGTGCCAGTGCTTCAGATCTGGAGGTCCGGTCTCCATCCGTAAGCTCTCCCTGAAACGAAGACACAGTAGCAGAGGGGGCTGTATAGTTTGAAAAAAATGAATGTGTAAAAAAGCTAGAAGTCTGGGACCTTGCAGAGTTCAGACTGCTTGTATCCATGTCGTCCTCAGAGCCTAGTCCGTGATGGCACAGCACTAGATCTACCAAGTCTTCTTTCTCTCGACAAGTGTCTATCGGTATGTTCCTAAGAATGAGATACTGCCGGAGATCCTTCACCTTCAGTCGCATTAACTGAGGGCGCTGAAAGGCTGTCTCTTGTAGTAAGTGACAAGTAGAACATCTACGGAGATTTTCTTGTAAGACTGAACAAACGGAGCAAAAATCCTTTTTGCAGTCACAACATACATGCTAAGGAAACAGAAAAGAAGCATTTAATGATATTAAGATATAAGCCATTATGAAAACACTAGTTTTCTTTTTACCTTCTATTAAAATTTCATTTTAGCTCTTATGAAGTCCCCCATGACAGCTGACTATATTCACCAGTGTCTTAGTGTTCCAAAAGCCATGAAAATTGTAATAGTCACTGCCAAGGCAGTTTGGATTCACAGAAGTTCAAATATAGCACTTTAGGAAAAAACATACACTCTTGTGTTAATGAATTAAAACCATTCCACCCCTCTGCACAAACATGTAATTAGCAGAACAGAGCTGAATTGAACTACATGGAACAGAAAGCATAACCACAAACTCTGTTCCTGGGCTTTTCCTACATGAACAAGCTCCCACATTTAAAGAGAAAAGGAAAAAAGAATAACAGAGAAAGGCAACTGACCTCTCTCTTTTTTTTTTTTTTGGAGAGGTTTTTGCTATAGGGTGCTTGCGCTCGCCAGAAAGACAGAGTCAGACAGACAGAAAGTGAGAAATCACCCCACAGGGGTGATTTTCGTTTTCCTTCATTCTCCTCTCAGGATCTTGAGCACACATACGCCCAGTGTGAGTTTAAGCCAATGGGTCTGGGACTCGAACCGCGGTCTACTACATGGAAGTCCAGCAACATAGCCATTACGTTAACTGCTGGTCCCGGCAACTGATCTCTCAAGGTCATTCCAAGAAAAAAGAGGACCTCACTAATAAAGGAATCTGTAACCTCAACAGCCAAATCACAGTCCAAGGCATCCCACTAAGGAAGATTAAAGACCCTAAGATGTGGTTTCTACTTGGTGCATTGTTCCCTCAAACTAACACTTTTTTTTTCCTTAAGTATTTCAAAGGACTGAATTGATGATCAGACCACAAGGTGACCTAGCAATACCATGGTTCTCAGAAGAAACCACTTTCTGTCCTAATGACAATAACTGTTTAGCCTAAATGTTTTATGTTGAATCTCTCAACAGTAATTATCTTACTATACTCAGTTCTTCATTTGAGAGTTAAGAATATGATTAGGGGTACATTTTTTTTCTTTCCTTTTTTTTTTTTTTGAGAAGTTTTTTGCTATAGGGCGCGTGCACTCCCCAGACACAGACAGACAGAGACATAGAGACAGAAAGCAAGAAATCACCCCCCAGGGGGGATGGTCACACTGCAATCCCTTCTCCATTCTCCTCTCGGGATCTTGGGCACGCACGCCCAAGATCCCGAGCGTGCCCGGCGTGAGTTTTAAGCCACCGGGTCTGGGACGCGAACCGCGGTCGACTACGTGGGAGTCCAGCGACATAGCCATTATGCTAACTGCTGGTTCCCAGGGGTACATTTTTTGAAACTTGAGATTATAGTTACTGTAAATCAACTCAGAACAAACTGCAGACAAGGGACCAGCCAGTGGCGTGGTGGTTAAGGCGACTGGATCCCATATGGCCAAATACAGTTTGATTCCTGGAACAACGACTTGAAAAACATGCCAGGCATGTGTGTGTGCATGACCAAAATCCCAAGAAGAGAAGGGATTGTGGCATGCCCATTCCAGGTGTTTTCTACCTGCCCCCCGACCTCTGTCTCTGGTGAAAGAGTATGTGCCCTACAGCAAATTTAAATAAATAAAAACTGTGGATTGATCTCTTATTTCAAAAAATAAACATTATCAGGAAGAAATTAATGATGTGGTATAAGCAGGTCAGGGCTTCGGTTTTGAAAAGATGTGTGAACAATTGAAAAATAACAAGATCTAGACAGAAAATTTGAACAGTAATATAATTCTTTCAATTGAGTATTTTTCTATATGGAAAATGGTTAGTGGCACTAAACTTTTTATTTCAAAATAACCCATAATCAAGAATTCTAATTCATTTATCTTTTTTTATGTAACATTTCATCCAACTCACCTTCTTTCTGAACACTGAAAATGAAAGTCCACAGGCTTTGCAAACTATATTAGGCCCTTCCGTAGCTGCTGGTGGGTAAGTAGAAAAATCAGGGTTTGGTGTAAATCTGAATGGACCAGTGCCTCCTGCAAATCCTGACTGCTGGCCCCTCACAGCTCCAGTTCCCATGACTTCATTCAGCAGCCCACAGCATGAAGCCCACATGGACGTGGCACCCGCCTGAAAAGGAACACAAGTGCCACAGTTGAAAGCTAAGTGGAATTTGGGCTCCCTGGGATCCTCAGGGAATGACATTTGAGAGAGGTAAATTTGTCTGAAATAACTTTGAGATTATTCCTTTGGACACCAAAATCTTAAGCTACTTGAAGATAAATTATTCCCTATTGTTTATAAAGAATATTTGGCACTGGAGAGACTCATGTTATTTTATTAAACAAAAGGATATAGCATGATCCAAATCTTGTAAAAAAAAAAGACAACCAAAAAAAAACCCATATTGGGGCCAGCAGGTAGCATGGTGGTTAAGGGTGCTGGTCTCCCACATAGCTGACTGCAGTTTGAGTCCTAGACCTGGTGGCCTGCTTTCTCACTTTCTCTCTCTCTCGCTCTCTCTCTCTCACACACACTCTCTGACCAAATTAAAAAATAACAAATAAAAATAATTCTTTAAAAAATAAAACCCACATCTATTCAAACACAGAGACACATGTATATGTGCATCAAGAAAAAAGACTGGATAGGAATATGTCCTGTGCAATATTTGGAATATACTTATACTAAAAAGTTAATTACTTAATCCGAAATTCAAATTTTCTGAGTACCATGTATCTGGCAACCGTAGGATGGTGCCTACCATACTAGACACAATTCTACAAGCTAAGGCAGATTTTCCCAGCTGCTATTCAGCAGAAAGAACAGAATTTTTTTTTTTTTTTAAGAATTTGGAGACTGGCAAGTGGTGAGGTGGTTAAGGTGCTGGACTCCCCACATGACTGACCATGGTTCAAGTCCTGGACCTGGTGACTTGCTTTCTCACTTTCCCTTTCCCTCTCTGATCAATTTTTAAAATAATAATAATAATAAATAAAATAAAAAATTATTTTTGGAACCAACTGGTGGCTTGGTGGTTAAGGGCGCTGGACTCCCATATGGCTGACCTTGGTTCAAGTCCTGCACCTTGTGGCTTGCTTTCTCACTTTCTCTCTCTCTTTCTCTCTGTCCCTCTTTGATTACATTTAAATAAATAAATAAATAAATAAATAGAAACCAGCAGTTGGTGTAATGGCTATGTCGCTGGACTCTCATGTAGTCTATTGCGGTTCGAGTCCTGGAACCAGAGGCTTAAACTCATGCCAGGCACGTGTGTGTGCGTGCTTAAGCTCCCGACTCTCTAAAAATAATAAATAAATAAATAAATAAAGTCATATAAAATAATTCTTTAAAAATTATTTTTAAAAAGAATTATTTAAATTCTTATGTATTTATTTTAATTTGACTAGAGAGAGAGAGAAAGGGAAAGTGAAAAAGCAAGCTGCCTGGTCCCGGACTCAAACCACGGTAGGACATGTGGGAGTTCAGAGACAAACACCATACCATCTGCCAGCTCTAAGAACAGAAATTCTAATTACTTAATTTCATTAAACCTCTGCTTGCTCATCTGTAACTGGACATAAGCATGCCAGATCTTCAAGAAGTTTATGGAAGAAGCTGGCAGGTAGTGTAGAGGATCTCCCTATACCATGATCCTCCCATGTAGCTGGGCCTTCAGGCACGTCCCACCATACCCAGCTTTATCAAACAAGGTCTTGGTACTATGGTAGGGCCTCTACTTTACAAATTTTTCATAATTCATATACTAATTTAAGAAAAGTACTTTTTTAAAAAGTCTATTTATTGTGTAAGAGAAAGAGAGAAGTCAGGTATCCTTGATAGGGCTCACCACTTTGTGATCTCCCCCCAAAGCTTCTAAAACAGCCAAGATTACAGGTATGTGTCTAACGTGTATGTGTGTGTGCACACACACATGCACACACATCCAAAATCCTGAGAGGAGAGTGGAGAAGAAGGGACTGGTGTGGTCATCCCCCTTGGGGGGTTGCTTTCTAACTTCCTCGCTCTCTCCTTTCTGTCCAGTGAGCACATATGCCTTGTAACAAACTAAAAAATAAATAAATAAAATAAAAATCCACCCAGAAGATAAATCCTTCCAGGCTTGGACTCCATCTACCTAGCTCCCCTTTAATATATTTCATCTTCTTGTACTTTCCCATAAACTCCCAATTCCTTCTGTGTGTCTCCACAGGGCAAAGACAACTCTACCTATAACTGTTACCATGATTTTCACCTAATAATGCTTAAACTGTGCTATACTGATTTTTCCCTTCTCAAATCTGCCTGTCCATATTTTGTTACTATTCAACAAAATCTATAAAAGCAGCTGGGCACTATTTAACAGCATTTTCCCAGCAGTTTATTAAATCTGGGCTCTTAAAGTGTGTGTGTGTGTGTGTGTGTGTGTGTGTGTGTGTGTGTTGGGGGGGCATATGCCAATTTATTCAACTTCTTGATTCTCCACCTCTGCTATATTTCCCTGGAACCCAGTTCCCATATCTGATAGCGTAATAACAAAAAAGACTTAGGAAGAGAAGGGATGGTGGCATGGTCATTTCCCTGGGGGGGTGATTTCTCACTTTCTTTCTCAGGGTCTCTGTTTCCCTCCCAGACACCTAGATCTCATATCATGCTGATTTTGGGTTTTTGTCTTTTTCTTTTTTTTTTCTTTCTTTCTTTTTTTTTTTTTTTTAGAGGTTTTTGCCTTAGAGTCTATGCATTTACCAGGGAGAAAGAGGAACAGAGAGGGAAACTGAGAACTCACTCAAGGGGGATGACCATGCCCCAATTCCTTCTCCATTCTCTTCCTGGGATGTTGGACATGCACGCACAAGCTCCCAGAGTGAGTTTCAAGCCACCAGGTCCAGGACTTGAACCTCAGTTGGATATGTAGGAGACCAGTGACATATGCCTTTTTTTTTTTTTTTCTTCAAAATTGGTGCACTAGGAGTTCAGGGAACCCAATAACACTCCATTTTTATTTCTTTCTTTTACTTCCACTATGGAGCTAATAAGACAGATGAAGCTAAACTATTTCTTTTTTTTTTTAATGGATGACACCAATTGGAAAACACATCTGCAGCTCTGCAGCTAGCTAAGTGCTCTTGATAATATACCACCTAGTCCCCAGCAGAGCTGATTAAGGGCAGCTTACTACTGAGGACAGATTTCTGCCTATTCTTCCTATTCTAATATGCTTTCCAAGCGACCTTAGGAGAGTCACATCTATAAACATTAATCTGCTGTAACCAACTGCTTTGGTATAGTGCCTGTGGGCAGCTCCTTATATCCTGACCCTGGCATAGTGTCACCAGATAAATAGCAAGGCATTATTACCTATATTTAGGTTAAATTCAGACATTCTTTCTACTGACTCCAAGATTCTTTGAGACAAAGACTTATGTATTTAACCAGTTACTAACCTAAGAATTTCTTAATCTACCTACAACTTACAAGTCCCTGTTTCTAGATGTCCTGCCTTGTTGGTCCAAACCAACAAAAAGACTACTTATGCTGATTCACAATTTTGTCCATCTCCTGCTTTCAGAACAGAATAAAAGAACTACTCTGGAAAACACTTTAGTGCTTTTCTGGGCCAGTCACTAGTATTTGTGCTTAGAATAAACTGCATTAATTATTTCTACAGAGGTTGGTTATTTCTGTCGACACCACCTACATGAATGGAGACCACCATCATACCAATAGCAAGACAGATCTGAGGTCCTAGGAAGTACTGAGTCAAGTACTTACTTTCTGTCTCTCTGTCTCTCTGTCTTCCTGGCAAGCACACATGGCTTTCTGTCTCTCTGTCTTCCTGGCGAGCGCACGCGCTCTATAGCAAAAACCTCTCCAAAA